GCTATTGAAGCAGTCTGGGCATCCATACACTCAGCAATGCCACAGGCTGATTGCCTCCATGCCACGCCGCATTGATGCAGTAATCCGTGCAAAACGATTCCCAACCAAGTACTGAGTGCATTAATGGACATTTTCAAATGTTTGATTGTGTTTTGCTGTTATAAATCTTTTTTTTTTACTTGGTCTGAGGAACTATTCTAATTTTTTGAGATAGGATTTTTGAGTTTTCTTAAGCTGTATGCCATAATCAGCAATATTAAAATAATAAAAGGCTTGCAATATTTCAGTTGATTTGTAATGAATCCAGAATGTATGACATTTTTGTTTTTTTAATTGCATTACAGAAAATAAAGAACTTTATCACAATATTCTAATTTTCTGAGACAGTCCTGTATAAACACAGTCCTGATCTAACACACTTTGTGTTACAAGGTCAATTTGTTCAGGTTTGTTGCAGTGTTCTTCTTCCTGCTTTGATTTTAGAGAGGATAATACAGTATTCAGCTCTGCTTAGGCAAACAAGACTAGGTGATTATGAAATGTTCAGCTTTTAAGAGCCAGGATATGAAATGGTTAGGCAACCTCAACATTCAGTTCCAGCACTGAGTTCCTCTTATCGTTGCATAATTTTCATCATGTGTTGCTGGCATGTTTCCAGTGGCAGCAGACAGCCTATATTCTAGAGCAGCACCCATTTCTCTTTTGGTTCATAATAATTACCAGAGACAAGTTGCACAAAGGCACTGATCTGCTGCTCATTATGGCTATTATTCTGCAGACAAAAGCCAACCCTATGCTCCTCAGCCCCAGTGAAATGTGGGGAGGAGGGGGGCAGCTGGATGTTGTTATGCCTTAGCACTTCATTGCCACATCCTGCAAGCTAATTCATTAATTCTGGTTGTTTTCATATTTCAGCTCCCAAGAAGAAGAGAGGCCAATATCTCCTTTCTACATGAGGTAAGGCCATCTTGCTTTGCATGATAACGCTTGCAGCACTGGGGGGGGAGTATGTTGTTTGGGGCTGTAGGAGTGGGGCAAGCTGTGTGCTGCATCATAACACAATGGAACCAGCAGTTAGAGGGAAAGCGGGGCAGCGTGCACATGCATCTGTTCACCACTGTTATTGTGGAGGAGGAGCCTCAGCATGTTTTGCACATGTTTCAGAAACACCCCCCCATGCATAATGATGAGATGGTCATTGAGTGAGTGTGGAAAGAATAACAACTTTAGCTTAAAACGTTTTGTCTGCAACTATTTTGATAATCTATTCATTGTTTCAAATTTTTCAGGCAAAAGAATAGTGAATGTCAAACAACAGTTCAAAATATCCATCCCAGTTTCTCAAAGCCCAAAGTTATTTCTTGAAATGTCTTTAGTCAGTCCGATCACACATATATTCAGTTTGATGTGATATAAAACAGAGAAAAGCCGTAAATATTTGAGAGGCTGAATTTCTAATTGTTTGTATTATACTTACTCAAAATTAACTAACCTACATCAATAACAAAAATAATTGTAAATCGAAGCATTAATAATATCTGACTACATCAAACACATATCTAATATATTTGATATCATTTCTTGTCATAACTTCCAAAGGTAAGTTAAAAGTGAACCCAGTATTAGTGCATGAAATGACATGCACTAATATTACAAACAGTAAACATCATGTTTCTGCACATGCATGTGATAATGTTCCTCTGCAGCCTGAACACACCTACAGTACACCTGATTAATCATCTATGACCCTACTGTCATCTCGTCTCATTTAACCCTTATCGTATGTTTACCTAAAGCCTTAAAATCACAGCAGCTTGTCCAGCCGGTGTGAACGGCAGATTCCTCAGTTAGTCATTATGATTTAGCACTTTTCATCAGGAATGCTTACTGATATGATTTAAGGGCTGATAAGGCTCCTAGGTGGCTGTGTGTGTGATCAAGCAGTACAAATTGGTTTTGATTTTAACACCAAAACTCAGCATAGGTAGTTCTCCACTTTTATAAGACACTCCTGATCCTAAATAAATGCACTCAAAAAATACAGTACAACTTTAAATACACTTTATGACTTATACTGTATATAAATGATACCCTACAGTATTTTGAAAAAAAGTGAGTTATTTTCGTTGTTGCACCATAGCAGATAACAGCATTTTTGTACTTAATACAGATAAGAATTTAGAACATGTTAATCCAATGCAGCAGTAAACCTAGATTTGTTATAATGTAATAAAACACCAATCATTCTGATCAGAAGGTCAAAGGTCTCAAATAGTGCACAAGTTCTACACCGGAGGTTAGTGATAGTCAGTTATGGACAGTACTAGGCTTGGAATTTCGTCGTTTTAGGGGCAAGGCCATTTGGTCTTTGGTGTCACACGTTTGTTTAGGGCACAAAGGCCACATGCAAGGGCACAAAGGCCATTGAGGGAAACATTTGGATTTGGAGCTTACAAATAAATCACTTCACTTTCTGATAAGAAAAACACACGAATGACATGGAAAACAAATCACTTTTTTAATATCAATAATGTCAAACATTATAATCATATAGGCCTATGCCTCCTTAGTATTACCGTATATAAAATAAAATACTCTACTTTGAATAATTAGTGTTTGTTATGTTATCTATCTACTACTTCTCCCATTCACAAATCCAAAATCAAATCAAAAAATCTATTAATATGTAACAAATATATTCCATTTCAGAGCAGAAGAATCAGCAGTGCAGAGTGAAGCTCCAACATTCAACTGTATGAACAAGCGTGTGTGTGTGTGTGTGTGTGTGTGTGTGTGTGTGTGTGTGTGTGTGTGTGTGTGTGTGTGTGTGTGTGTGTGTGTGTGTGTGTGTGTGTGTGTGTGTGTTTTACGTCTGCTTCAGCCTGAGCTCGTTGGAAGCGATACTGAGCGATGAGACGGTCGGCCTGAGACAGAGCGAGAGCCTTGGCCTCCAACAAGTCCTGCAGACGACTCTCCTTAGACTGACACAGAGAGATAGAACTGTTGGAAAAACTGAGCCAAACAATAAATGTTAATGTAAAAATATAATTTAATATTATAAAACATACTGACCGCGAACGCTGAGAGCTTCTGTTCATAAACATCTATGATGTCCGACACATGGGAGTCCTTCGCCTGTTCCTGCAGCTACAAACAACAACAGGACGTCAGTGAATAATGCTTTTCACTCTGGAGGCAATCACTTTATTTTTATACTGAAACAGTTATAGGTTGCAACTGCTGGCTACGGTATTAATGATATGTTGTTTATAAAAAAGGAACCACTTTTTTTCTTGTATGAAAAAATGCCAAAATGTTGAAGTCAAGAAAACATGTTCTGTAAGGCCCTTTTCTAATTATTTTGTCCTACAACAACTTTTAAGAAATCAAGTTAAATTTAACACACACACACACACACACACACACACACACACACACACACACACACACACACACACACACT